CGTGGAATCCAGCGGCCGAGGTGTCCCGACAAGTTCTTGATTGTCGAAAGCCAATATAAAGCGTGGTGGTCGGTCACTATGGTGAAATGGCGGCCATGCTGATATGGACGAAATTTTTGCACTGACCAAACGATGGCAAGACATTCCTGCTCGGTGATCGTGTTGTTCCTCTCGGCTGTAGAGAGGACGCGGCTGGCGTATGCAACGACTCGCTCTCGCGAAGAGTTGTCGCGTTGCAGGAGCACGGCTCCTAAACCGCGGCCACTAGCGTCTGTGTGCAGGAAGGTTGATGTATCATCGTGAAAATGAGAAAGTACAGGGTCGGTCGTTAGGGCACCTGTCAATCTGTCGAAAGCCGATTCACATTCCTGAGACCACTGAAAAGGCGTACCGGAAGCAAGTAGCCTATGGAATGGTGTGGCTATCGAGGCAAAGTTTTGTATGAATCGCCGAAAGTAAGAGGCGAGACCAAGGAAACTTCACAAATCTTTTTGTTTGTCAGGGCGAGGGAAGCGAAGCACTGCAGCACTTTTATCAGGGTCTGGACGAATTCCGTCCTTGCTCACAACATGACCGAGGACCTTGATAGATCTACTGGCGAAATGGCACTTCTTGGTGTTAATTTGAAGACCAGCACCCGCAAGACAAGTCAGGACCTCATCCAAGCGTTGCAGATGGTGAGGAAACATTGAGGAAAAGACAGCAATGTCATCGAGGTAACATAGGCAAGTCTTTCTTTTCAGGCCACGCAGCACGGTGTGAATCATGCGCTCAAAAGTTGCAGGCACATTGCATATACCGAACGGCATAACATTGAATTCGTATAGGCCATCCGTTGTTGCAAACGCAGTTTTATCTTTATCATCTTCGTGCATGGGGATTTGCCACTAACCGGAATGCAAGTCGAGGCTCGAAAAGTATTCAGCACCCTGTAAGGAATCGAGGGTGTCATTGATGCGTGGCATGGGGCATATGTCCTTCCTAGTGATCTTATTGAGTGCGCGGTAATCGACGCAAAATTTTACGGAACCATCTTTTTTTACGCACAAGAACAATGAGAGATGACCAAGGACTACTGGTTGAGGGTCGGATTATCTCCCGTTGCAGCATATCGTCTACATTTTCCTCAACGATTTTTCGTTCGGCTAGAGAGACGCGGTACGACCGGCGGTGCACAATGGATGTTCCGTCGGTCTGAATACGATGTGCTGTAGCAGTTGTCTGGCCGAGGGTGGTTGAATGAACGTCAAAAGAATTTGCATGCTTTTCCAACAAATCAAGCAGCTGCTGCTTCTGGGAGTCTGTCAAGTCTTTGTTGATGGTTGCTGTAAAGGCCGAAAAAGCAGCATGATCTGCAGGATCGCCTTTGGAGGAGACAGGGGTAAGAGGCACAATGCACACAGGCTCCAGATCTGTAATGCAGGTGATAGTAGTGCCTCGTGGCAGTAAAAGTTTATCTGGTGTGGTGTTGGTAGCAGCGAGGACAGTTGATTCATTGTTGAAGCGAGAGTTATGCCATTATTAAGGCAACGGGGTGACGGAGTGACCGAAATTTCACCAGAGTCGACGTCGTGGGACAAAACTGTGACTAATTGATGTTCGTGGTGGTAACTTGATGTCTGCAGCAGCGATCAGTCGAAGTGGCCTGTAGGTTTCGTCGTTGAGCAAGTGGTCTGTATCAGTAAGATGGACAACACGTTGTGCACAACAAATAGCCGCGGAAGCAGAGGAAAGAAAGTCCCAGACTAAAATCAGTTCGTGGGATCACGGGGATAGCACAGCGAATTCTACATGATGAAGAATTTCGTCGATTAGCACATGGGCAGTACAGAGAGCGGAAGGGCAAATCATTGTTCCCTGGGCTGTAACCAGTGTTGGTCCATCATAAGACGTCGTGACATTTCGAAGACGGGCACACAAATCAGCATGAATAACAGAAAACGCAGCCCCAGTGTCCACCAAAGCATCAACGTCTACTCCCTCAACTGTGACTGCAATCATATTGTAAGAGCGCGCTGGAGGAATTGGGGTCCTGTGTTGGAATGCAGTTTGTCCTCTAAAAACTGCATCGCTTAGTTTTCCGGACACCGATCAAAAGCGAGGGAAGCAGGCTGAAGAGGAGAAGAGCGACGGTGAACGGCATCGGTTTGATCAATGACTACTGCGCAGTTCACCCGATGCAGGCGGAGATAGAGACCGACGCGGCGGTGACGAATAACGGCGTCCCTGGTACAAGGCTTCTGCGGTATAGTCCCGTTTGCGTATTTCGTACCCTCAATGCTCGTCTTGCTGGCACTTGCGGCAAAAGCGTAAAATGTGACCACGATAGCTGCAATAACAGCACGTAGGGCGAGTCGATCGATAAGGAGGGTGGTATCTTGCGCTAACTGCACCGGGAGAGAGAGCAGTGAGAGGGACAGATGACGGCTCAGGCGGTGGTGATGGAAAGCTGGTGGGAAAGCTTGTGGGAGGTGCGGCAGCAACCGGCGCGTACGTTCGTGGCGGGGACGTCGAGCTGATGGTACCTGATGGCGCGGCGGTGGCATGTGGGAACGATAGGAGAGTACGAGCGACTGTGGGCTGCAGGTGGGCCATGTGGGTCATGGACGTGAGCTCCTCCCTGATGACATCCCGTAATGACGTTGAAGAAGACTGAATGGGACACACTGAAGGTAGTGTGAATCCCATTGATTCTAATTCTTCATGTGTAATTACCCTTATCGTGTCTCGTAGGTTTGGATCCACCATATTACGGGCCACGTCACTGTCCGGTTGTAAGCGCATAGACTCAAGTTCTTCGAGGCGCTAACAGGTTGTCGCAACGTCAGCAACGGTAGCCGGATTCTGGATTGCAAGGGCATTAATGCGTCGGGTGCAATCCCCTTAAGAAGCTGGCGTACCTTGTCTGACTCTGTCATTGGTGTGTCAACCCGGCGGCAAAGTGAAAGAACATCCTCGATGTAGGATGTATACGACTCCCCGATGTGCTGTTTCCGAGTTGCGAGAGCTGATTGAACAGCCCAGGTGTGCCAAAGACATGGCGAAGCTGATCTTTGAAGGCTGACTAGTTGGGGATGTTGATGAAGTGGTTGACACCCGTGAAGTAGAATGAGACGTGAGTGAGTTTGTAGGGGTTATCCCACTGGTTAGCAGTGCCGACACGTTCGAAATCGTCCAGCCATTCCTCCACATCTTCCTCGCGCATACCAGCGAAGGGATGGGGCTCATGCTGGAGGCTGTTGATGACGTGAGAAAGCGCGGCACGCGGTGGTGGAGTGGGAACGGCTGCAGCACCGACCTCATCTTGGTGCAACATATTTCTGGGCACCTGGCCCAAGCGGGGACCTGCTCGTAGCTCCAGGGGGTAGAGTGGTCGAAAGGACGGTGGGGGACCTAACAGCACACTCCACCACGTATGAAGTCTTGGTTTGGATGACCTTTATTTGGCCCGAGGAACCGGCAGCCAACAGCTACGATGAATGAACCAAGATGATGATTCTACGCGACAACGATGAGGATGCATGAGCAACACATGATAATGATGATAATGTACAAGGGAAGAAGATGGGTATACTAAATGCCCACAATAAAAAAGTTAATTGAAATATTATTGTTAATTAATAATTTCTGAGTGATCTAAATAGTGGCAAAATTTTTCCGCCTCGGCCTATAAATTGTCTACGAAGACGGCAAGTGCCTAACTATTAGAATTTTTTAATGAAAAATCTGTATTGGAAAAAAAATAAGGCCCTGTAAATACCTCTGTCAAAACAAGCATGAATAAAAGCTGTGATAGGAGTCAAGCCTACGACTGGCCACTACTGCATTGCATGCACGATGGCATGACTGCATTGTGCACTTTTCTATCTGGATGCTGCAAAGATCATTTTTCTTTTTTATCAATTGACATTGACAAATCAAGCATTTTCAAAGTGACACGATTTGTGGTTGTTCAATGTTTTTTAAATTGTTGTGCACTACCGTTCTGAGAGGAGCAGGTTAGGCCTGCCATCACCTTGAGTACGTGAACATTGTCATGCCACTTGCTTCATTGACTTGGTAACTTTGTTCAGCCTGAAATGTATTGCAGTGGGGGTGCTGTTGCTGGAAACTTTGATAATGTGTTGATCCCTTAAGTCAGGAGAAGGGTGTTTTTGCAAAGTTCACGTGCTGCTGGAATAAGTGGTGTGCAGTGTATTCTGCATGCATTCATCACTGCACCAAATTTTATTGCTTCTGAAACCTTGTATAGCTCATTTTTTTTTTTCATCTTGTTGTGACAGAAATGGAAGCATATGCAAAGTGAAATAGATGCTGATTTATTGGCATGCATATAAAAAATAGGTCCTCTACTTTGCCTTTGCCTTCTCCACTTGGTTTGTGGGTGTAATTTGTGATGAGCTTGCTCGTGCATGCAAAGGCTTCGCAGACCCCGGAAGTGCTGTCGCTGACCCCAATAGGTCCACAGACCTCTTAAGAACCATTGCTCCAAGCCATGACCTTGACTGCGTGCGTGGTTGTATTTCTCTTCAATGTTATGCTGGTTACCCGACATGGTAGCTTAGCAGGTAGGGCCTCACACTCCTTAACTTGTGGGTTTGATTATCGGCCACAGTGGCCACATTTCGATTGGGGCAAAATGTGAGAACCACTTTGATTTGGGCTCGCGTTGAACAACCCCAGGTGGTTGAAATTGGTCTTTACTATCAAGGTGTGCCTTATAGTCACATTGTGGCCTGGTACGTAAAACTCCTTCAATTATTATTAATTTATTATGTATGCTATGTTTGAAGAACTTCTGCGAAGACGTGCAGAGATACTGGCACAAAGCCATACAAAATCTTGTACTTCTTTTAGCACTTCCATGTCTTATGTTGCCAGGTCCTATTGAGAAGAAAATTTGCTTTTCTTTGTTACCTGAGGACGTGACAAGTATAGTATAAATATGTATGCCCTGCTATTTACATTATAGTGGTATTGCCTTATTTTTTCCTTTTCAGCACTTGGCAGATTTTCTGAAGCAATTGTGGAGTATTTGAGCAACATTGAAAAAGCACCCGATCCATCTGTGCAAAAGGCTAGTTTTGCTACTGAAATAATCAGTGCCTTTGACTTTCTCTTAGCCAATTGGCTGCAGGCGAGGGAAGCAAAGGTGTGTTGCTATCATTTTTTATATCTTGTACTTTGCCTTTAAGTGTGTTCATAACAACTTAGCACATGTCATATTTACAGCATTGTCTACCTTGTCATCTACACGTTATGGCATGTTTTTCTTGTATATTTAATATTTGCTTCATGTAATAGGTCAATGTCGGGTTTCAGTGCAACTAAAGGATACACACATACAGAAAGAAAAAGTACGACATTGTCATCATATTCTTTCATGTCTGTGTACTTGTTTTGTTACTTATTTCCCACATAAGCTTTGCAATATCGACTGGCCCAGCAGTAGATATGTGGAGAGGCACTGAAAAACGTTTTGAATGTATTAACCCTGCAATGGCCACAGCCAATTTAGCCTAAAAATTATTATAAAATGACCATGAAGAGTACCTACCCTATATATGTAGGAAAACAGGTAGAAATGTTCTTGAATTATAAAATACAAAACAACTTCAAGGTAAAAACATTTCAATTCAGGATTGCTTTTGCAAAAATTACAAAAAGCATTCAACTCAGTATACGGAAATCAGTCTTAGAAGCATTTCATCGCCAAAGAGGACTTTGAAACATATTTAAATACCTTAACAAACATCTATAAGGACTCCACAGCTACCTTGCTTCATACTATAAAAGCAAAAAATTACAGCGTACTCATGGAGTGAATGATGATGAGTGGGGCAAAGCATCTGTCCGTTCATCCATCTGTAGAAATGAATATGCTGACGCCAAAAATAAGGCTCAATAGATAGATGAGAAGATACAGTATTTACTTGCGTAATGAACGCACTCGCATAATAAACGCACCCCCAACTTCAGTTGTCGAAATGTGGATTTTTCCCCCCAGGCAATTAACGCAACCCCCATACTCATCCGCTGCACTCCCGCTCGCTAACCGACACATATGGTGCCTCCTTGTTTGTTGGTTCTCTTCAGTTTTTTTTTATTAATATGCTGATCCCCCTCGACGCCATCTCTGCTTGCTCCCCCCCCCCCCCCCCCCTTCTTTTGCCCGCTGCTGCACGCCGTATCGTTTTTCGTTCCATCTGTGCACGGCAAGTCGCCAGTCTTCTTAAATTATCTGTGCACCACAGTGGATTCATGAACGGCGCGAGTGTAGAGACATCACAGATGATAAGCGCACAGCAAGCGAAGTTCACGAAACTGCCCATGCCAACCGACGGTCGCTACCTGCCAATACGAAACTTTAAGGCCAAACCACATGCCCGTGATATTTGAGCGAGGACGACAGGGTTCGCTGTCGCCATGGCAGTCGCGAAGGGCCATTCGTCGCCATTACGTTGCAGGTTTCTGGAAAACGAGAAAAAGATAGCTTGTCACCCAGAAAATATTGTCACGTGCTTGCTCAAGAAAGACAATGGCAGTTGTGCATGTGCCATGAAGGACTATGAAATGGACGAAAAAGAAGAACTCGCTTGCGCGTTCTATTCAAAAGACCTAGAGATTCTAGCTTCGTGGCCACTTTCATCCTGTTGCCAGACTGTTGTAAAGAGCTAATTTTGGGCATGGATTTTCTTCAAAATCATGGCACTGTTATCAACATCCCTCAACGTATGGTGACGTTTTGCACACCCGTATTTCGACAACAGCAGCGGCGAACCACGCGGCTGTTTGCGAATAGCCGACGATGTGATGCTTTCACCGAGATCCTGCTGCTTTGTGTTGGTGTCCAGTGGGTGGCCTTGCTATAAAGATGTGATAGCGGAGCACATAGTTGCCAATTTGCTCACGCAAGACATTTCCATCGCGAGGGGCGTCCTGGCGCTTACTGGTGGACAAGCAGAAGGGCTCCTGACAAACTTCAGCAACGAGCGCCATCAAATCCAGAAGGGTACCGCAATTTCCTACTACGACGATATAGACCAAGCCGGGGTTTGTTTTGCTTTGCAACCAGACGACGTGAGTGTCCCTGCCTCGACAGCTTTTGTTGGTGGACATCTGCCTAACGCTACCGCCCTCTGATAGAAAGTGCCTGCTTGAACTTATACACTAATTCGAAGACTGCTTTTCGCCTACATCAAAGGTCCAGCAAACACCATTGACCAAGCACCACATCATTACTGAAGACAACACGCGACCGATACGGCAGAACCCCCACCATGTGGCTCCAAAAGAACGCAAGGAGATTCAGAAGCAAGTACAGAAGATGCTCGTGGATAACGTCATGCAATCTTTGAAAAGTCCTTGGGTGTCCCCCGTGGTTTTGGTCAAGAAAAAACACTGCAGCTTGCGCTTCTGTATTGATTTTCGCATGTTGGACCAAGTCACGAAGAAAGACGTCTATCCACTGCCTCGCATAGACAATTCACTCGATCGGCTTTGTTATGCATGCTATTTTTCTTCAATGTACATCCGAAGTGGCTACTGGCAGATAGAAGTCGACGAGAAAGATCGTGAAAAATCGGCCTTTGTAATGCTCGATGGCTTTTAAGAATTTAATGTGCTTCCTTTTGGGTTTTGCTCACGCCAGCCACTTTTCAGCGTCTCATGGACACCGTACTATCAGGCCTGAAGTGACAAACATGCTTGGTCTATCTGGACGATGTTATTGTATTCTCAGCAACATTCAAGGAACATCTCAGCCGTTTATTCACCCTCCCCCAAGCCATACGTTCGGCCGGCCTTACTTTCAAACCAGAAAGATGTCATTTTGGTTTCAACGAACTCGGCTTTCTAGGCCATGTTGTCATTCAAGAGGGGGTTCAACCTGACCCGGCCAAAATAGACGCCGTAGTGCAATTTCCTGCACTACGCAACAAAAAAGCTGTGAGACGCTTCTTAGGGTTGTGGGCCTATTACCGGCGATTTATTGAGGACTTTCCGTCTGTTGTGGCGCCATTGACACGACTCACATGTGAGGACTTCCCCTTCTTTTGGGGTGAACAGAAGCCAATGGCATTCAATGAACTACGAAAACGCCTGTAAACACCTCCAGTCCTTGCGCACTTCGACCAAGAAGCCCCTGCAGCTCTTCACACTGACACCAGCAATGTAGGTCTGGGTGCCGTTCTGGTGCAGTGGCAAGACTGCTGTGAAAGAGTGATAGCCTACGCCAGCAGAACTCTCTCTCGCACGGAAGAGAACTACTCGACTACTGAAAAGGAGTGTCTCGCCTTAGTGTGGGCGGCCATGAAATTTTGTCCATATTTGTACGGCCGCTCCTTCAAGGTTGTTAACGACCATCACTGTTTGTGCTGGCTCACCAATCTTAAAAATCCATCTGGTCGTTTGGTGCGCTGGAGCCTAAGGCTTCAAGAGTTCGACATCATCATCTATAAATCTGGGAAGAGGCACACTGACACCGACTGTCTCTCATGGTCGCCAGTGGAGACTGTCGCTCCTGATGACGAAAACATCGACGTGGCATTCTTGGGAGTTGTCAACGCGGCCACTATTGCACGAGAGCAGTACAGCGACTCAGAGCTGTTACCACTCATTGAATATTTAGAAGGACGACGTAAAGACGTGCCACGGTTATTTGCTAGAAGACTGCCATCTTTTTGCTTGTGAAACGATGTTCTCTATAAGAAAAACTTTTCACCAACCGGCAACCCGCACTTGCTCGTCGTGCCTTCCTCTCTTCAAAAAGAAATTATGAAAGCGTGCCGCGATGAAGCAACTTCTGGTCAGCTAGGCTACACCCAAACATTGTGGCGACTACGATCCAAGTACTGCTGGCCAAAGTTACCTGCTGCTGTTAACCATCATGTGCGAACTTGCACCGACTGCCAAAGACTCAAAGCGCCTTCCAGCAAGCCAGCCGGTCTTACATTTAGTCGAAGCACCAGCAAAGCCGTTAACCCAGATCGGAATGGATTCCCTGGGTCCCTTTCCAACTTCCACAACAGGGAACAGATGGATTATTGTAGCCACCAATTACATCTCCCGTTATGCGGAGACTAAAGCTATGCAGCGTGGCACAGAAGCCGCTCAGTTCTTCATCAAAAACATCGTTCTTCAGCATGACGCTCCGACAGCAGTGATCACAGACAGAGGACCTGCCTTCACCGAAGAGCTTTTGGAGTTGGTTCTTAGACTCAGTGGTATAGCTCACTAGAGAATAACTGCATACCATCCGTAGACAAACGGACTGACGGAGCACCTCAATAGGACCCTCACAGACATGATCAGCATGTACGTTGACACTGAAAATAAAAACTGGGATCAGATATTGCCGTACGTGACCTTTGCCTATAATACTGCTTGACAAAAAACCACTGGAATGACACTGTTCAGTCTTATCTATAGTTGCGAAGTCACGACAACGTTGGTCACCATGTTGCCGTGTGGGTGTGACGACATCTATGTAGATGCCGAAGAATTCACTCAGCGCGCCGAGGAAACCAGATACCTCGCGTGTGTCAGCAGCAGCATTAAGATGCACAACGGTACGACCCCCGACACAAGTTCATTAGCTACACACCACGCGACAAGGTCTGGGTCTGGATTTCGATACGTCGACGTTGTCTGTCTGAAAAACTGCTAAGACGGTACTTTGGCCCATACAGCGTCACGCGACGCTTGAACGACGTGAACTACGAAGTTGTTCCCGACACTGATTGTAGTTCTAAGCGCCAAAAGCATTTACCCGAAGTCGTGCACGTCGTGCCTATGCAACCGTATTTATCGAGTTAATTCATCATCATCATCAGCCTGACTACGTCCACTGCAGGACATAGGCCTCTCCCATGTTCCGCCAGTTAACCCGGTCCTGTGCTTGCTCCTGCCAATTTATACCCGCAAACTTCTTAATCTCATCTGCCCACCTAACCTTCTATCTCCCCCTAACTTGCTTGCCTTCTCTGGGAGGGAATCCAGTGAGTTACCCTTAATGACCAGCGGTTGTCCTGTCTACGCGCTACATGTCCGGCCCATGTCCATTTTCTCTTCTTGATTTCAACTATGATATCCTTAACCCCCATTTGTTCCCTAATCCACTCTGCTCTCTTCTTGTCTCTTGAGGTTACACCT